TATATATATATTTGAAACAGAGTCTCACTATGTGGCCCAGGCTGGCCTTGAACTCATAGCAAGCCCCCTGCTTCAGCCTCCCCAGGGCTGGATTGAAGGTGTGTGCCAGTCAGCCCAGCAGAATGGGCTTTATTGACAGCAAACAGGCTCTTCTTTCCTGGGAAGGAGACTGCAGCCTTCTGCTCTCTTCACAGTGGAAGGTGAGCATGACAAATGCACTCCACATACAAGGAGTAGTCGGGGAGACACTATAAAAGAGGTACAGGGTTTCTAGAGGGCTTCGGGCTCTGAGAAGGCTCCCTCACTTCTGCTCCCTACAGTAGGGTCAGGGACTACTTAGAAAGCAGGGGGGAAAAAGAAAAGCAAGCTCCCAGAGAGCTGCAATTAGCATTGACATCGGTTAGCTTTCATCATTTCACATCCCAAGGACAGAGCATGTTGCCAGGCAACTAACAAATATAGTCTCCCCACCCCCAGCAGGTTTCAGAGGCCACCAGAAAAAGCCCGAGCACAGAGTTTGAAACAACTCCACACCTAAACATTAAAAACATCTAGCGACTTCTGGTTTTGGAGAATAATCCTGCCACCACTTTCTCTAAGGATTTTGACCTGAACGAGATACAATGACTTGCAACCAGACTGCTGGAGTTTTGCCAAGAAGCCAGGGCAAGAAGAAGGAAACTATTCCCAGTTCTAAGAGGAGTTTATAGTGTGCCTTCAGTTCCGCACCCCAGGAGGTTTGTATCTGGCCTCGCAGTATCATACCGCACAGCATGAGGATCAGAAACTCCACCTTTGACCAAATCATCAAATTGCTTTCAGCGGCAATAGCACAATGTTCTATATCTGTTCCCTTCACCCCTCCCTTCCTAGGGAACACACACCACCCTATCCCATGATTCACAGGCACAGCACACCAGTATAGCCAGCAGTGAAGTGGAGGTGGAAACACAATGAAACACCCAAAATGCACCAACCTGTCAGTTCTTTGGTCTCCCAAAAATATACCATACCGGAACTCTGCAATGATATGCTCAGATACAAATCCTAATGTCTAATATGCATACATGCAAGGGGATGGAGGGAGCAGGGCTTCCCCTTCAAAGCACAGATTGCAAGCAAAGTACTGTACTTTGAACATTGAAGTGTTATTTGGAGGCTGACTAGCAATAATCACCCAACAATCTTTACAATTAGAGCAAACAAATTTTCCCATACTGAGTCATTCATGAGCAAAAGGAAGAAGCCAGCTCACAAAAGGGAAGAGATACTGACCATAAAATATACAACCTGAGCACACAGTGCAAAGTGTTATTTTAGCACTGGGACTACACACTCCTTAGGCCACAAGTTAACCAAGAAGGGCTGGGCTGGCCTTCACCCAGTACCAGGCCCAGTGCTCAGAAGGGCAACTTACCTGACATATAAGGACCTCTTCTCACTTGTTCGGAGGGACCCAGACCCAGAACTCATGCTGCTGTTCATCATTTGTTCTCGCAAGTCATGTATCTTCGATTCAAAGCGACTGTACTCTGTTGGGGATACAGGGAAAAGATGAAAAACAAAGAAAGAATGAATGAACTCAAGGAACTCCCCTGAGCCTACATGCCTGCAGCCAAAAAGCCAGGACACTTAAATTCAAAGCAGCTACAGCTAGACCATCTTTGCTTTGATAAGCAGATTCCCTCCTCCAAGCATAGAAAGACAGACTGTTCTCCATTCTCAGGCACATAGAAGGAAAGAAAACACCTGAAAAAAGGTACTTCTTACTGCTTCAAAATCTTGCTGGTCCTTTAAAAATAATAACTAGGCCCCACCCCAACAGAATGCTCAGACCAGTGGGCTGGTGCCCAGCCAACTCCAAAGTTGAAGATTCCACACCTTGGTTCAGCCACTGCCAACTTAGAACTGGCTCTGTGTTGTTTCCCCTCTGCATGGGACAGCAGAAGTGCCAGCCAAACAATGGACCTGATCTTTGACAAATAAAAATCAGGAATGGGGAATTCAACATGGCTGACTAGAGCATGAGACATATAGAAGCTGGGAGAAATATCCACTGAGAAGGAAGGATCTGAAAGATTCAGCAGCAGTTGGAACCTGCAAGGAAAACAACACAGGATACAGTCTCAGAGTGCCCTTCCACAGTTAACAGTTGGTGACTGACCTCCGCCTGCATCTGTTGCCATAAGTGCAGAATGAGAGCTGGCAGACACCATCCTAGGGAAGGGCTCAGCATTTGAGCCTGGGTCCCAGAGAAGTCCTTGGCTCCAAGCCATGCCCCATGCTGTTGAGTCCCCAGCGTGGATGAGGGAAGGACAGCACGGGAGATGGCCAGCAGTTGGAGAGCAGGCAGGAGTCTGGCTGAGAGGCTGGGGCTGCTCAACATGGACGCAGGTCCTGCGGTCACAGGCCAGGTGCAGCCCGAGTTACACAGCACTGGAAGGTCACATTGGTGCCCTGCCCTCACTGTATGTGGGTGTCTGCTTCCAGCACCATTCTGGGGGTGGACTGCACCTTAGATCTCCAGCAGATAGTGACACATCTTGGTTTGAGCTCTGCTCCTTAATCCCAGAGGCTGGGAAAGACAGCCATGGGTCCAAAATAATAGAAAACTTTATTGATGTATTTATTATTTATTTTTCCTGTTCTCCTCTTTCTGTTCCATTATTTGCCCCTTTAAGACTTAGTGTATATTGCTCTTCCTCTTTGCCATTTCTTCCAACAAGACTTGGGCTATTATAATTATAACAACTATGGATTTCTTTTCTAGGCTTAAGAGAGATGCAGAATTGGGTCTCCTGGTATATTCTCAACTTGCCCAGATAGATACCACTGCAAGTGATTTGTCTGCATAGGCATACTCCTGATTCAGTGGACAATTTTGGGCCAGCGAATCATCTCCCGATTCCACCATCACACCCAGGAAGAGGTACAGCAAGAGTTCCTAACCCAAGAACTCACACTGGATCCGACTCTGCAGGAATGCCTGCAACCTGGCTGAGAGAAGTCCTGTGTGTGAGTTAGCTTCAGTGTTGCAGTGGAAGATTCAGAGGAGCTGTTGGGGTGTGAGTGCTCAGACTCTCTGGCAAAGAAGCTATGTGTGAACCACATCCACTGTCTCACTGGAATATTCAATCTGTGAGGCCAATGGGTATCTTATGGGTTTGTTTCTTGGTTTAATTAGCAGTGTGAAGTTATGTTATGTTCTTTTATGTTTTCTGTGTTCATTAGATTTTTACTTTTGTGTATTTTTCCCCATGGCCTCTGATTTAACAGGTGTCTAGGTTCTCTCCCTCATCTACCTTAACCTCAAACCTCCAAGGCAATACTACAATGTATTTCTTTATTCTTTTTCCAAGCACATAAACTCCTCCTCTCATTCTTATTTTCCCATACTTTCTCCCTACAGTCACTCCCTTCTTCTCTACTATCAACCTTTGATGGGGCCAAGGAGATGGCTCAGTAGAGTAAGCACTTGCCTGGCAAGCGCAAGGGCCTGAGTTCAATCCCTGGTTCCACCAAAAAAAAAAAAAAAAAGAAAGAAAGAAAGAAAGAAAAAAAACCCCTTGATCCTAAGCCTTTGGCTACTTCCCTAATGTATTGTCCTCTCTATCAGCAAGTTCTGATCACCACACAGCTTCCCTCAATTGCAAAATAAACCTCCTTCCTCCTACAAATATCCTTTGAAAACTCTCAATAGGAATCCTTCAACTCAATGAAAAGCATTCCAACAGCATTCCAATTTGACTGTACACCAAACTTCTCATCTGCCGCTCTCTCTCCTACAAACCTTCCCCCTAACGTCTAACCCTCATCATCCAACTGCCCTCCACACTCCTCCAATCAAATAATAAGTGGTCATAGTCTGCATAAAGGACAGACAAAGGAGAGAAGTATAACCGTAAGGACTGCCGGGTAGAAGTGCTGTATGATTGAATCTGTTGATGATGTTATAACCAGAAGTAATTATTTCAATAAAACATAAGGACAGGGTTCAAATCACAGTAAATAATAGAATAAGTAAATACTTACACTATATATACAAAGCCAGAAATTATGCACTAATTATCCTACTAAACATCTTCATATAAACCACAAACTTTGCTCATTTTTCTAGTTCCCAACCTGCAGTACTTCTCCAGCAAAAAAGGAGATGAAAAAATCTATGTATCTATCTCGATATGTATATCTATACATATCACAGACACATATCACAAGGATGGGGAAACAAGGCAACAGAAGATCCCTGAGTTCATCTAATTCTCCCAAGGCAGAGCAAGGGGTCACAAAAGGAGAAGAAAATAAATACCAGGTAGCAGGACTCTATGAAAAATTCATAGAAGAGATGAAGAAACTAGATAGGCTCAAAGAGGAAATGAACCAACATGAAGGTGTATCCTTATTAAATTACCGGATTGCCACCAAAAATCCACAAAATTTTTAAAGCAGCCAGAGAAAACCAAAAAATCACACATAAAGGTAAACCAATTAGAATCACAGCAGACTCCTTAATACAAATCCTAAAGACCAAGAGAGCTCGGAGTGAAGTGTCACAAACCCTAAAAGCAAATAATTTCCAATCCAAATTAGCTTATCCAGTAAAGCTATCTTTCACAATACATGGAGAAATAAGGTATTTGCACGAAAAAAGATGAGCTCAAGAGACACATGAGTGGTAAACCAGCTCTGGAAAAAACACTTAAGACTATTCTCAACAGAAATCATGAAATAGGCACAGCTAAAACCACAAATAAAGTCAATGAGGTCGGTGGATAAACAACAAAAAATGTCAGGAAAAGAAAAACAAAGGATTCACCAACAGATAAGGAAGGCAGTGATAGTACATAGCCAACACATCTCAGTAATAGCTCTCAATGTTTCCTTTTATGTATTTAGTACAGGGTCTACAAGGTCTCATTACGTAGATCAGACTCATAGTGATCCTCCTATTTTCAGCTTCCCAAGTGCTGGGATTATAGGTGAACGCCCCCATACACAGTCTCAATCGCCATCTCAATGTGCCCCGGGGGCAGGGCTGGTAGACATGCCAGGGATCAAACCTGACTGGCCCCTGCACTCTGTCTAAACAGGTCCTTTAGTGCACTGAGCTATCTGTCCAGCCATAATATCTCTCAGTTAATGGCCTCAACTCTCCAGTCAAAAGACACAGAATGACAGGATCAAAAACAGAATTCAATAGTCTATTGCATTCAAGAAACTCATCTAATCCAAAAAGATATTCATAGATTAAACATTAAAGGATGGAACATGACATTTCATGTACCAGGTCCCAGTAAACAAGGAAGGTAGCAATTCTAATATTAGACATGGTAAACTTCAAGCTAAAGCTGAGTAAAAAGGACAGAGAGGGTCTACATACTACATACTACTTAACAGAATAATCCATCAAGAAGAAATAACATTAATAAACATATGTGCATTGAATACTGGAGTACATATCTTTATAAAACAAAAACTAAACTACTGAAATTAAAAAGATCAGATAAATACTAATTCAATCACAGTATAGGATTTCAACATCCTGCTTTTCCAAAGAGATCAACTAAACCAAAAACCAATAAAGAAATATCAGAACTAAACCACACCCTTTCATGTACGATTTTAATGGATATATACAGAGTGTTCTACCTTCTCTATAACAGTGTATATGTTCTTTTCAGGAACTTATGGCACTTTTTCTAAAATAGATCATATAATAGTCCACAAAACCAGCTTAAGTAAATATAAAAGAACTGAAATGACTCTATGCATGATATCAGGCCACTGTAAAATGAAAATAGAAACCAATGACACAAGAAATTAAGTAAAGCTCCTGGAAAATTAACAACATATTCCTAAACAACCAATGGATCACAAAAGAGATCAAAGAAGAAATTTAAAATTTTCTGGTGGCTAATGACAATGACTGTACAACTCAATGAAACCTCTGGGACACTATGAAGGCAATTCTAAGAGGAAAATTCATCATAATCAATATTTTTCTTATGAAAACAGAGCAACCTCAAATAAATAACCTTATGAGAAATCTTAAGATTCTTGAGAAACATGAACAAATCACCACCAAACTGATATTAAAGAGCGAAATTAGAAAGATGAGAGGGGAAATCAGTGAAATTGAGGCTAAAAAACCATAAAAAGAAACAATGAATGGAAGGATAGTTCTTCAAAAGAATAAATAAAATAGATAAGTCCTTAGCCAGACTTACCAAGAGAAAAAGACTCACATCAATGCAATTAGAAATGAAAAAGGTGAAATCACAATAGACACTGTTGAAATCCAGAGGGCAGTTAACTACTTTGAAAAATTATCTTCCAATAAATAAGCAAAATTTGAAATGAACAGATACCTAGGAACGTACAAACTACCAAAAAAAAAAAAAAATCCAAGAAGACATAAATATGTTTAAAAACCCAATAGGCAATAAATCGACAGAGTATTAAAGTATCAAACAACAAAAACAAAGCCAGAACCTGATGGATTCTGTGCTGCATTCTACAAAACATTTAAGAA